CCGAGCATTGGACGGAATGTAGAATCTCCAATAACAAACTTAAGTGCCAAACCTTGTCATCAAAAATCATTTAACCTTAGAATAAAGAGTCATTATTACTTACCTACCTTCCACAACGATGTTTAAGTAGCGATATTAATAGCGGTTGTGCTCAACGAAACCGCTAATTATCTCGCTAATTATACATAAATAGAAGAAAGGAAATTAATTTCCGTAATTAAGTGGTGTAGTACAGACACGAGACAATCGCAATAATTTGTCAACTGTAAATAGTCTACTTTTTTAGTCACGATTGTCTCCGCATACTAATTGAGGTGATCAAGTAATTTCCCATTGCAACAACGCCCGCAACGTCGCATTGTTAACGTTAAGTAGTTTGTTTTTGCAGTGGATCTATTAAAATTAACGCGGCGTGGGTTATTTATAAATATGTTTATTTAGTTGATTTATCTATTTGACGTAATGTGCTATGACCTTACTTTTTTGCTGAAGATTAACCCAACAAACAGGTATACGAGTATACTTGTTACCATAGAGTAGACCAATCTATGTTGTTGCACAATTGGAAACGTTACCAAGCTAATGATACCAGAAATGGAGAAACGCTTGGACCGATTCGGTTCAAACTTTGCATAGTTGACTTATATGCCACATGTAACACGCCTATTGAAAATGGGGCAAATCCAATAACTCCGTAGGGTCAAACCAAGGTGTTCTGTCGCTTTTTTAGATCCGCTTTAGAGGTTTATTACTTATAAACTAGTTGATTAAATGCGTTTTATTCAGACGGGTTATTTTTTGTACTGCAGGAATCCGCAGTAATCTCAGTAATAATTAACGATAGCAATTTAACCGTAAAAGTGACCATTGAAAGAAGGATACCATTGTAACGGTATAATCAGCTCTGCGATGTGTCAGAAACGTCAAACTTAACGTGCAGATTATCTGTCCAAAAAACGCTATTGACGTGATTTAGTATGGACAATAACGTTTTCTCTCGCGTTTTCTACAGATAAAGTGCAGAAACATCACAGGGCTAATTATTGTCCCTTTAATTTTAATTTTAAGATTTTGAGCTGAAATAACTATTCAAAAATCCTATGACAATTCAACTCATGTATAAAAAATCGCATAAGCCGCAGTGCAATTGTCACTTTGACAGCGGCAAAAGTTACCTGCAACTTTTCCAGCGACAAATGCACTAGTGGTTTTTCACTTATTCATTTTCGCACCAATTATCGCATTATCCTTTCCCATATGACTAGTTTGACGTCTGTCAATAATTGACTAGTTTGGTGAATTTCTTGTTCGTTAAATTGTCCTGCCGAATTACACTCGTACTCGAGGTTTGCATTTAAACCGAGTACATTTGGGTTGCTGCAATTCAAATCTGTTTCCTTTTAGCAATTGAACTCGAAAAACTGTCAACCTAAAAATGCTCCACCTTCGGTGTCGCATTTTTATTAGTTGACAGTTTTTCTCGTCTAATTGCTAGGCAACAAATTTTCATTACCTTAACAACCCAAATTTACTCGGTAAAATACAAACCTCTTGTGCAATTATAAGTGAAAAAACCTCGGACAAAACTATGACGCCAGCTATGACGATTCTCGTAAATCTACTACGATTATAAAATATGGTGCAAGAATTAAAATGTACATTCATAAGCATGGATTTTTAATTGTTTATTGCCACCATTTGTTTCACATTCAAGCCCTTCTGGAGGAAAAATGACACATTTGTCCCTAAAATAGAAGATTCAAAACGTCGAGTAGGTATTGAAATAATTTTATTGAATCTCTAAATTGTCACAAAATATCCATCATATAAAAGACTGGGTTACTCGTTTTGCAGGGAACTAGTACGCAAAAAGTAGGACACAAAAGCCCTCATACTGCTACACCCTCGGCTACAACAAATTTATCTTGTATCTTTCTATTCGTATTTATTTACACTTTTTATGATAATATTCAGTCAGTGAACTCCGAGGTGAACTCGGGCAATATTATTTATCACATTTTATCTACAAACGCATGTAATCTCTCCAAAATTCGACTATAAATCTGGTAGGTATAAGGTCATTATTTATTCCTTTAATTGTATATTAAGCACTTCCGTAATCGGTTTATAGACTGAAAGATGGTGACAACAAAACACCTAATCGCCATAATATTTTCTGCAGAGTGAAATGTATCGCCATAATCACTTGAATTTTAAGGGTTGCTATTGTCTCTTTTATATCGTTCACTCGGAGACTAACATAATTTAGTTATCCTCTTGGTTATCCTGGAGACAAGTCTGGAATAAGTAATTAATTAATAATGTCGGTCTTCGAAAACCACAGTGACTTATGTACTGAGCGTATTTTGAAAATTAAATTGGGAAAATAAAATAAAATAGAACATCCTCGAAAATTCGATGAATAAGTAAACGCTCCTGTTCTCGCTCCTGTTATACCTATACGGAGCCGAAAAATTTTAGTCTCTTAAAGAGTTCTAGAATACTTTCGATGAAATGAAAGTTGGTCAGAGGGGTTGGTTGCCATTAAGAGTCATCAAGAAAAAAAGTTATCAAATTAGTCAGCAGCAAATTGTATACTTAATTGTATATACCACGGGACTGAAGTACTTTTAATCCCGAAGGCTATAATTTACATGAGGGATTAATATTAAGACTACTACTTTAGTCGCAAGGTAGATACGATACTTTTCGTACTTCCGAAACTGAAACGTAGGTATACATTAGGTATGGCGTTAGAGAACGCGTTCTTTCGACTGTCATTGCTAGTGTCATAAGCTTGGTCATGAGTGACAAAGGTGTATTTGATATTGATAAAAGAGCAGCCGAAGTAGGTGAAGAATTGATACCACCGATGTTCAAAAAACTATATGAGCATCAGTACGATGCGTTTAAGAAGTGGTGCCGCATAAAAATGTAGAACAACCTACTGAAAATGTCTTTCATCCTTCCGGAATTTTCGTCTAAATTTAATCCCGGAGGGACAAAAAGTGACACTTCAGTCCATGTCATAATGGAGTGAAGTTGTCACTTTAGTCTCGGAAGAATCCATTGAAAATTTTTAGCATATTTTGAAAGTGACCCGCGGCTAGCGCGAGGGCTAGCCTTTATCATAAATTTTACGGTCACGTACTTATTTAAATTTCTCCTTTAAACCTCACCAGTAACAAATTGGGGATTTAATGAAATCATTCCAAATTTCGGTTTTGAGATATCACCGGATCTTTATACGTTTCAATGTCACAGGAGTCCAAGAGTGCTTTTTAACAAAATCGAGTAAAAATGTTCCTAACTTGGAGCTACTTAGCCATTGCCACCACCATTTTTTTAAATCAAGTATCGTTTTAAGATCAAGAAACTTTTAATATAAAATTGTTATCCATCTATATGTACAGGGATATTGATTATAAATTATCCAATGGATATTTTTGTTATCAACGCAGGTAGAGGTGTGCAGCATGAAAGGCCGCTTTGAAGTTGAACCTTTGAAGGGAGTTATGCAAACTAATTTCTCTACAACTCTTACTGTAAGACCCAGTGATCGCGTTTTGTTGACAAGGGAATGAAATACAGGAAATACATCATTTTCACACACTTATGATGAAGAAACGTAACGTTTTGGAAGAGTCGTAGAAGATGTGCTAAGCTCCGAATCTCGATTGTAAGCAAATTTGATGAACAAAACCATTGACAAAGTGCATAACTGCATACTGTAACCGATACTGATACACTGACGATAGCTAAGGAAGCATAATCAAAAAAGCGAGTAAAAAAGTGTAATGGTTGAAATGTAGTACCGAGTGTGGTACCTAGTACAAAGTTTGATTCTTATGGCGCAAATCAGTACACAATTAATGTACAACAATTTATCTGAATCCATCTACGTGGAGCTTCAGCTGTGACATTAAGTTGTAACCCCAACGTGATTTATGCTGTCTACATGAGTTAATGAGTAAGAAATAACGATATTAATAATAATAATGCCTTTATTCGTGCATTTTACAAATTGACAATTGATGAAACAAAAAAGAAAGGGAAGAAAAAAATGGCAATACAAAAATCAATAATTATTCGTACAGTAAAAAGCAAAAATGTTTCGTGCCATTATTATTGTATTTACAGGTTCGCCAATCCTATTTGTAGGGGTTGCAACTTAATCGATCCAGACCTTTCGACGTTTCACGTGTACTAGGTATTGAGTCAAAATGCCTTGAAAACCGCATTCTCCGGAGACATTCTTATCCTCCACACAGAAACGCAAAAAATCCAGTTTCGTCAAAGGCGTCCAAAATCCAAATTATAATTTGAGAGTAAGTAAAGTGTTAAGAGCGCAGTCGAGATCTATGTCTCTTCGAAAGGGCCTTCGCTTTATAAATAAGTGACAAATTTACTACGATCCTTGGAATTATCCTTGAAAGTGTCATGCACCTTAACGTATTATAATAATAGCCGAGGTGCTTATTATTAATTTATGAGGTAAAAATTCAGTGACTGCTTGTCGCTTGTTATAGGTTAAATAAGTTTAATAGAGAAGACATCCTTTGGTATAGGTTTTGCTCGAGGTTTTGCTTGTTGTCAAAACCGACTGTCCCCATAACGGTATATCGGCGTGATAATGATTTCCCGGTTCTATTTTGGTATTGTTATCGACGTTAGGCGACGGTAAATGTTATCACTATGTAAATTCCTTCAACGTTTTAGTTTTCCATGCTCAAAATTCGATGAAGGAGCGAAACTGAGTTGAGCGAACTTGTTCCGAAATTGTTGGGTCGAAAAAATGTTTCATTGTAAATAATTTATTCTAACGCACACTTCTTTTATTGTTATTTATGTTGAGTGCATGACACCTACGTCTGGCGTATGCAGCCTATTTTTGGAACGGTCGCTGATTAACTGCGTATGTTGGTCAACAAGATATGCGATATCAGGAACGTTATGTTTTCGGTATCGAAAGTAACGGGAAAAAATTTACTTTTACTTACAACGAAAACAACTGGTATTATCCACAAACTGAAGTGAGCGGCTGTCAGTCACTGAATTAAGGCAGCGCACACAATTTAAGAACCTTTTTATGAATGAAACTGAACGCACAAAACGTTATCACATACTCTAGAGGCATTTACGGGACTTTTCCCATAAACGGCTATTGTTTCCGCTTGTACGTGTCATAAATTCGCTACGTTTCCTCCATGCGGCATAGCAAACGACTGTTGAGCACAGCAGCAGGCAGGAGCCCGGGATCGTCGGGTTCGGGTCGCGTCTCCCGCAACGCCTGTTCCACGGTAGCCTATTCAACGCAGGCCCGATAAACCGAATATCTACGACCTTTAACGAATCTTGTATTTTTTTAGACAGTAAGTAATAGGGCTCTGCTGCACCGTTCATCGATTGCTCACAAACGCTTGCGGCATAAGGTCGCTCGCGTCCATCCATACAGACTCATCCCCAGTTTGACATGTTTATTCCAGTAGTTTGACCGTCCAACTTAAATGTTTAATGAACTTAAAACCTACCAGAGCAAGGCCCTTTTTAGGGCACGAGAAATACGGTCGCTCAAGTTTTCCGCGTTTTACAAACCAATTATTTCGCAAATGATTGACACATTTAATCCTTGTTGGAATTTAAATTTTTAATATTTCTCTCCTCTCCGTAGCATAGCATTTTATTACCTGTTGGAATAAGAGATGCTTCTCAATAGGTTTCTAAATATATTTATTTTTGCTTTCATTTTTTTTCTAATGATTTTAATTACAAACAGTTAGTAACTGCAGCTGTTTAGCTATTAATTTAAAATTCAAGTGTAGGCAAATTTGTGTCTTCTTATAATAGAGACATGCAAAAGTGTAAGTATCCTACGAGTACATTTCTATCTATCTACCTATTGTAATGGTACCAGTCTATTTATAGGTTTATAGGGGTACAGGTTTATATATTTTCAAGAAACACTCTAACTTTCGTAATTATGAACCGATTTCGATCAAACTTTAAGGGTCGATATAACTTAACTTATGAATATCTCGGCCAAGTTGGTGAATCAGCCAATTCCGCCATATTGAAACAAAATGGCTCCACCTGATCGGTCGAGGCGAAAAGGATTTTTAGCGCATTTTTCAGTACCGGATGACCTACTCAAGTCGATATGATGGACCATCCGCCTGCCTCCAAGCACGCAAGCGATCCTAGCCGTACAGCAGAAGGCATCCCTCTCCGAAGCCGCAGATCTATAGCAGACGCCATCAACGCCAACAACCTGCCCGCAGTTTACGCTGTCGAGGACACGCTCCATGAAGCGGTCACAACCCTCACCGCAGAGATTGCCGAGCTCAAAGTCCAGTCCAGAGGAAGAAACGCCCACTCACAAGTGAAAACAGCCGAAGCCGCACGCCCCGACGAGAATTCGACATCTGCTGGTACCATTTCCAGTACGGGAAGGAAGCGAAGAACTGCCGCCCCCCATGCAAAGAAAGCCCGGGAAACGAGCAAGCCGGTCGCTAGAGGTGGTACGCGACTCTCAACCAGGCCCCCGCCGTTTGTACATAGCTGACAGGACCACCAATACGAAATTCCTCATCGACACCTGAGCAGAGGTCTGCGTTTTCCCTTTTCAGCAGACGAAGGAAAGGCGCCAGCCCACCAAATACAAACTCTACGCCGCCAATGGGATCGACCTTTAACACGTACGGAACGATCCACTTCAATATCGATTTGAAACTTCGACGGAATTTCCCTTGGCGATTCATCGTAGCTGACACTTCAAAACCGATAATAGGATCCGATTTCCTATCACACTACGAACTCTTAGTGGACATCAAGAACCAGAAGCTGATCGACAGCCGCACAAGTCTCGCCCGCCAAGGAGAGCAGCAAACGACGACAGCATCTGTACCACCTCCAGGGCAGAGAAATACCACGACCTACTAAGAGAGAGTTTCCACAATCAACCAAACCGCCGGGAACGCTGAACGAAGTCAAACATAACACTGAGCACCACATCCAGACGACATATGGACCTCCAGTCGCACACAGACCGCACAGGTTAGCACCGGACAAGCTAAAGGCAGCCCGGAAGGAATTCCAGTTAATGATTCAGCTCGGAATAGCAAGTCCTTCAGCCAGTCCCTGGGCGTCACCGCTACACCTACTTCCTACGAAGTCGGCAGACTGGAGGCCATGTGGAGACTACCGGGTCCTAAACGCCAGGACGATTCCCGATATTTACTCGGTTTCACGCATAAAAGACTTCGCGCAAGAACTGGCCCGGAAAAACGTATTTTCCACGATTGACCTAGTCAAAACCAGATCCCGGTAGCAAAAGAAGACATTCCGAAGACGGCAATAACGACACCCTTCGCACTGTTCGATTCCCAGACATGACCTTCGGGTTACGAAACGCCGCCCCGTCGTGATGGCCGTCTGGCACACCTTTAAGGTATAGGCTACCTACTGCAAAAAGTTCCAGGACTCTAGGACCATTCTCCTAGAAGTAGTTCGCAACGGCAGAAGAAGAAGGACGGACGGACAATAGCACATTTTTTTAATTCTTAAAAAATGCGCTAAAAATGATACATAGAAAGCTAAAAATTATTTATTATTTATTACCTACATGAAGGTAAAGATTAGTGATTCTTTGAGTTGCAGAGCAAATCTTTCTTCTTACACACGCACTTCTTGGGTGAAATGTAAGAAATACACTGAATCTTACAGTGCAACACATTACACAAATAATAGAGTAATGTTGGCTGTCTCACGGGAATGATAACTAAGACAATACGCGCGCAGTTACAATTGTAGAACATTTCTGAAGCAACTTTTACTAAACCACAGTAAGCATAGTTAACCCTTATAAGGCAGGTTGATCCGTTGATCGGTTTATTTTGAATCAACTTTTACTGATTCTTTTAGTAGGAGTTGACTTTACCTAGACAGAGTCATGTGTGAATAGTTATTTTTGAAGCAAAAGTTATTAATAATCAGTTGAAACTTTTACTGCGACTGCCGGTGCAGTGTTCAGTATCGTATTGTGCGAATAAAAACTTTAAAACTCGTCTTGATCCCGCAATTCAAAAATTAAATTAAAAGCGCTCAACTGTTTACGCCTGTTTACCCACTCTCTGGCCCATACTGTAGTGTGTTCTTTTGCTGTTTTGTTTCTCCAACAATCTTATAGAAATAATATGATCGCTACAGCTATTACGTCATCATTCATTCTAGAAATTTCGCTATAAACAAACGTTTTCCACAGCGTACGCGAATAAACTGCGAGATTGAAACTACAAGGGATGCTGCAACTCAAACACATTGCAAAAGCAGGGCTTTGATGTCAACATAACGTATTCTAAAATAAATCCAGGATTGTAAAGTTACTTTCTGAAAATGGGAAAATAAACAAAAAAAACGGCTTTTCAAAATGTCGTTCACAATGTACTGTAAATAAATCACCGAATTATTAAATCCGTCCATACACCTAAATGCACCACAATAGAAGTAGAACCGCATAATTTCCAAACCAAAAAATTTTAGTGTATTTGTTGTGTTATTTTATGAACCGAACCGTACGCTATATTTTTTTTCTTATTTTTATGTGTTATACATTGTGTGTTTGCACATTCTTGCTTAGTTGAGTGTACAGTGAATTTTTTTTTAATGCGAACATAGGAGTTCGCATGCAATGTATTTTCCCTATGTTCGATTTAAAAAAAAACACATCAATCTATGAGGTGTGCGCGGTTCACATTCCCAAAACGCGCACTTTTGTGTGACTATGAACAGCAACTCATAGTCTTTATGATAAAGAGCACTCGGTAAGATTTTTTTAAATAAGCCATGTGAGGCCATAGCAACTTTAGGACAAATTTTTCTTAAACTTATGATAACTTGACTTCACATGGCACGCGCTGACATTACAATTCATTGTGAACCAACCAAAATTATTGGTAGGTCATGTGCACCTGGTATTCTACTAATTTGATTTGTTCAATACATAAATGAAGAAAATAAGAAAATAAATAACGAAAACAATTACAATAAATGTGGAAGTGTCCTCCTTGACATTCTAAGCAATAACCTAACCGATTTCGTAATTAAATTGGACGGCGGTATTTTTAAAGAATGTGACAGCTGTCAATTGTATCTACTACTCATTTGAACTACTCAATAGCTTGATGTGTTTTTTTAAAAAATCGAACATAGGGAAATTACATTGCATACAAACTCCTATGTTCGCATTTAAAAAAAATTCACTGTATATGTACGCTCGAGTTATACCAAAGAAGCAAAGCTCTTCAAACTGGATTACCAAATAAACCTTATTTAAGCGTACCTACGAGTATAGGAAATGAGGAACCACATTCACTATTAAGGTAAGATCTCAACGATGTTTTAATTTGTTTAATCAGCATTTACGTGCAGATTTAAGACAATTCCATGCTCTCGTTGCGACTGGCTTTGCAATTATGAACATTTCACGTTGAGAAAGAGATTTTAATGATTACCTACCCAATTCACCCCAACGCCTCGCGATAAATGAGATATACAATGTCAATGTTTAATTAGTGTAACAATAAATGGGAAAAAGTTTGAATTGCTCCCTCGCGTGCCCACAATAACGCAATTGTTGGTTCAACTACATTAAATATTTCATCCAGCCTCCTGTAACCTAAGATTTGCCTTAATTAAAATTAAAGTTATATCTTTTACCGCTTCTTTTAGTATGCTCGCGAAATTATCAGCTTTCCTATATAAAGGAAGTGAAAATTGCTTTTCCAGGATAAGGTCGCAAAAAAAGCAAAAACCTCTGAGCAATTAAAAGTTTCTCCGATTGCTCTCGATCACCTAAAAACAAAAACGAGAAATACTTCATTAATTAATGATGGAGAAACGAGCTGTTGACGTCTTGTATAAAATAGTCGTTAGGTTATATTGCTATCTACGGAAGACTACATACAGACGTCGCTCGTCACGCAACAGGTCATTAGTATTTCGCCATATCCAGCTTGTGCCAAATTTGGTTATTTGAAGTCTCAGATAGGCGAGCAGATAGGTCTTCGTATAGCGATGGTTGCAATTCCTTTTGGGTTCAATTGAGGGATTTTAATTAACTATAGGTACATTTCTCCTAGCACTAGAAAAATTCCCCTAGAAAATAACTAAAACGTTCACATCATGGCCGCGCTCACGGTAGGACCATTTCTACCTCTATGCAACTGTTTCATCAGCAGTCCATCTTAATTTATAAGTTCGTGGTCAAGGAGCTGCATTTTACTG